ACAGCTTACTGCATTCACCTGGGTTAGTGGGGTTAGTTAAGCTGCTTTTACTGGGAATTCAAAACATGAATGTACTGGAGAACATCATGTATAAACCATTTGATTTCCACATTTTATTGACATCCCTACTTGCCAATAATTGATGGATATTACAGAAACATAGACCATAGCAGAATAAACTGCTTTTGTTTCCCTGTTTCTTTAACTCAGCAACCTAACTTAAGTCAATTAAATGTATTATACTGTAGTTACGGCTTACACATTCTTGGAGATTGTGCCCAAGGTGCCCTATAATACTCATTAGATTCAACAGTAAATATAGCACAGGGTTTGACGTGCACTTTAAACGAATCAATTTAAGGCTTATGAGCACTAAAATTAAAACCAATTAAATGAAACATAATAGATCACTCTGAATTGAAATATTTAGTACCTTTTTCTTTGCAGAAAAGTTTACCAGCAAAACATAACATCTCATTGTCAGTGGGACTCATCAAATAGGCAGTGTAGATCATTATCTACACTAAAGTGTCATCATTCTCAATTCACTTATGATTCCACTTGGATAATTTCTTCACTGTTGACAAAAATCCCACATAGCCATTTTCTAATCAAATCCATCCATTTACTGTACTCAAATCCTATTTCAGCACATTCAGTATTGGTTACTTTTTAGAGATCAGGTGGTAAAATGATTCCATCTAATTTCCAAGGAAATCCAAGGGGGAAACAACCAAAAAATAATGGGATGGTTAAAAAACAAACAAAAAAAACACAAGTCTTTAAGTCTGTCAATGCTTAGTTGCAAAATTGGGAATGAGATGATGGATCATTCATTTATAGCAAAAATTTTTAAATCACTCCTTGCTTTACTTTGAGATTATACAATGGACTTCGAGGGGGCCATGAATGCCTTGAGTTGTGAACAAAATTATCTGCATCTGTTTATTTTTAGGTAGAAGGCATACATTTTTTATTGGAATTTCCAAATCATTCTTGATCCCTCAAAATACTAAAGTCATATATGTAGAAAAAAGTATGGGTAGCTTCAAATGATACTCAAAATAGGCAGAAATACATTAAAAAACAACAACAGTTGACTTTGGGATATAGCAAATTCTCTAATCCCATCTAAAGCTAAATAAGCATTGGATTTTTAAATGTTTATCACAAAAGTAATTTATATTTGCCTTTAATCATTTTTTAAGTTTTTTATTTGAAAGTTTTAATATCTAACATTTGAGTAAATAACATTCTATATAATAAAGAGCTAATATGCTAATTAGACCAAACAGCCAAATGACCTTCCAGACGTCCTTCCAAAAGACCTTCTGGACAAAGCCGGGGCTGTGAGTGCCAGCCAAGGCAGCCAGGGCTGCGAGGGTCAAGCCACTTGCACAAATTTCATGCACTGGGCCTCGAGTTTCAAATAAAAAGGCACAGCAACATTAAAACATTTTAACTCAGAAAGAATAACCAACTTCAGCCAGACAGATTTCCACGAAAAGCTGAAGGTAACATGATGGTCTAATAAGTTCAAGGGATGATCCCACTATAGAAAATGAGAGCAAGGAGTCAACTGGAGCCAGGATAGCAAGAATTCATAACAAGCATGATTTTCCTTTCAAAAGAACTCTGAGTTGACTTGTCAGAGGAAATTCTTGCTTTCAGTTTCTTTGTGATACCCTCATTCAAGAATATATTCATTACAGTGGAGCTGTCATGTTCCTCAAATTTCTAAAGTTACCATGTCTTCTAACAAGGTAGATAATTAACATTTCTACTCTCTGACAAAACAAAAAAATTCTAGTCATATAAGGGACACTATTTATAGTGTATAGAAGGAGAAACAGGAAAACAAAATGTTTAGAAATAAAGCTGATTGGTGGTAGTTATATAAATTAAAAATTAAAATTTTCTTCTGTTAACTTATCATTTAGTCATAATAAATTAGATTTTACCTTCATAGCTATCTATATGACCATTTATTTCTATATTTTAGTATAGAATCATGTTAATTCTTGGAGTGGGGTCCACACATCAACAATAGAATCATGTATTTTAGTATCTTGTTAAAAACAAATTTATAAAACAACCCACCCAGTAGTCAAAATTTTTGGCCAAAAAGTAGAGAAATAAATGTGTTTATTTACTTATTTTTCATTTACTGACTTCATTTTTTATTTTATGAGGACATTTACATGTCCTCATATATAGTTACTAATTTGTAGCTGTTAATTTGACTCTGACATCCCTGGTAACTAAAAGAAGGCAAATGAAATCAATTACATGATCCAATACATTGTATATAAAAAGAGAACACACCACTTACCTCCTTTAAATGAGTAGGAGGGGTGTGAGAGTTCAATTCATGAAATTAATATTGAAAGAAATGTTTTTTGGAGGAATATCATTAAGAAATAGAAAGTCATGTGTTCAGCTAGTCATTACTAACAATCTTGTAGTTTTTATAAGCTGAGTTATTTTATATAGAATATTTGTGTATAAGCTGAAAGTGTAATGCACAGCATAGTAAAGGCAATTCTGTCTGGGGGAGGTCGAGACAATGATACCCACATATTTATCTAATAACTTTGCTCCGAAAATAAATAATGGACTATCCAGGAGTATAGGTTAACTACATGTTCTTTAGAAGAGCATTCAAATATTTCATATCTTTCAACAACTTTTTTTCTTTTTAAAAAATATCTTTTTAATTGATTTTTTACAGAGAGAGAGGAAAGGAGAGGAATAGAGAGATGGAAACATCAATGAGAGAAAAACATCGATCAGTTGTCTCCTGCATGCCATTCTCTATTTCCATGCTATGATCTGCAATAACCCATTGGCTTTTCAAGCCCAGCTTAAGGAAGCAGGACTAAGTTACATGATTCCACTGTTGATGTATGGGCCTCACTCCAAGAATTTATTATGATTGGAGACCCAGTAGGGGATCGAGCCTGCAACCCGCCATGTACCCTGACTGGGACTTCTTGGTTCATGGATCCATGCTCAGTCACTAAGCCACACTGGCTGGACCCTTTCAACAACTTTTACTGGCAGCAGACATTGGTAAGAATTTAAAATACAGGTGTTCTGGGTTGTATTCTATTCTTCATTACTGTTCTTCATAACTTCTTTGGCAATAGAGATTAAAATATAAATTACTAATCTCTGTGCTTCTATAGAACTTTGTAGAAATTGTCAAGTTGTTGTGCAATGTATCTCATCAAGGGCAAATACCAAATTTCATCTATCTTTGTATCCCAACATCTAGCAAAGAAAGTGGAACATAATGGATTTTAAAATCCATTACGCTTTCCTGAATAAGCCACTTTGCAGACTTCTCTGAGTATCACCCTTGTTCATATAGTTTGAAAAGGTCAAGGTCATGCACCCGCTAAGACCAAGAAACCTAATTTATAGTCAAAACTTTCCTTTGGCATCAATTCAAAATCATTAACTAAAAGCATTGCATCAACTGATGGAGGTGTGGATTTTTTTAAATACCAGAAAACTGTCCAGAGGAACCTTCAAAATATAATAGTCAGATCAGCGTTCACTCAAATGATCTATGAAACAATGGCTATATCCCACTTTCTAAACTTGGTGAGAATTATATTTGTAACATCTCTATATATGTAAATTATATTTGACACAGATTTTTAAAATCAGTGTCATGAGCATTTACTATGGAGCCATATTTAAAGTCATAAATTACAAGTCAAGGTCTCCAGTCATAATAAATTCTATATGCCCATACATCAACAGCAGAATCATGTAACTTAGTCCTGCTCCCTTGAGCTAGGTTTGAAAAGAGAATGGGTGATTGAAAATCATAGTATGGAAATAGAGAGTGGAGTAAACAATAGCTTGCATTCAGACATTGTCAAAGTCAAAATCAATCAAATTCATAAAGTTTGTTGTTAATATTGTACAAAATGGTTAACCCCTACATTTACATGAATAGACTATTCTTGCAACAGTCTGGAAACATATATAGAATAATAGAGGAAAGAAAATGACCTCCTTTTCTGTACTCTATAAGTGACTGCATTTCCGAATATGATCTCTCTAGCACCTTGCTACTTGAAGCATGGCTCTGAGACTAGCAACGTCCAGCATCCCCTGGGATATTGTTCAAAATGCAGAACCTGAGACCCAACTTCACATTTGCTGAATGAGGACATGCATTTTAGCAACATCCCCAGGGAATTCATATGCACATTAAATTTCAAGAGGCACTGCTTTAGCACTTAGTACCAACAAAAAAATATGGATTTAGTGAGCTTTAAAAAAAGTCAAAATCATGGTTATGATAATATTACTGGAAGAAGAACTCCTATTTTTTTGCCTTTGGTGGGCAGTTAATCCACCTATATTATACGGTGTTTACTAGTTTAAAATGAAAAAGAATAACCTTTTTGCTTTTAGTGAAGTATTTTATGAACTCCCAGTTGTACATTGCCCATATTTTGCAAGACCTTAGAATTTTTTAAATTACTAAACACTCCAAATGACCACAAAGCTTGTCTCCACTTTATTATTAAACTATAACACACCTTTACATTATGTTTTATTTTTACATGAACGATGACCCAATTCTGTATTTATATTTTCCCCAAACGCTGACAATTTAATTTCTCATAAGGTCAATAATTAATGTTTAGGAAATCTACAGGTGCTCACAACTTGTAGGTTCTGGGTATATTATCCAAACATGAATAGAATTGGAATGTTCTAGCTGAGTCTGGAGAACGACAAGACCCCCTAAGTAAGAATGAGATGAGAGATTTTTGTTGTTTTTGTTTTGCTTTGCTTTCAATGAGGTTTGGGCTTGGATTCTTTAACACTGTTTAGAAACGTGCCTCAAAACCACATCGGAGTTTTATCAGAGCTTCCCTCGCTGGGAATCTTCTTATGTGGGAGCTAGGTTTTACTACGCAATGCTTCAGCACTACGGACAGCGCCTAGGCACTTCGAAGAAAGGGAGGGGATCCGGTTGGGTTTGCGTAGTGGAGAAAACCGGGAGCTGGGGAAATAACCCCAAATGCCGCATGCAGTCCCCAGGTAAAGCTTTCACTCGCGCCTTTCCCGTATTGGAGAAGAAAGACGTAAGAATCTAGAGCCCTCACAAACACACACTCGCGGGCGCGCAGCGAATATTAACACACTGCTACACCCAAGAAATCCATGCACATTCTCCTGCAAAACACACCCGCGCGCGCACACACAAGTACTTCGCGGGCGCCCGCGGCTTCTGCCTCTCGCCTACAGATACATTTTCACAGGTAGGCCAGGAAAGCGCTAACCCCGGTCCTGTGACTCCACGCAGGTTCCCAGGGCATGCCTCTTACATTACTACCGAACAGATCCGCGAACACAGACAAACCTGCCAGCGCTTAAGTCTACTCGCTGGATTTCATCTCCATGGCAACAAGCATGGCAGGTGAGACAACCCTGGCCAAGAAGTAACTTTCTCCCCCTACCCACCGCATTAGCTGAAGGATTCCAGTGCAGGTCCAGATGAGAAGCATGTCCTCATTCTCTGGTATTTCTGAAGCTAGGAAGAGGGAAAGGAGGTGGGGGAAAGGAGCCTGCAGGTCTGGTGAGTTCGAATTCTAAAGGAGGAAGAGCACTAATGTTTCTGCTGCTGCTGCTCTTGCTGCCAAGAAAAAGCAACACAAAACAAAAGAGCATGTATGTGTGCAGTTTGCTGATGCTTCTCCCATGTTTTGTAGATTTCTGTGCTTCTCCAGTCTAATATGTCCAAAGAGAACTGGAGACAAACAAGGCATAATGATAATGATAGTCTAGGTTTCTCTAGTGAGACATTTTGAGAATTTTCAGACAAGGTTTTCAGTGCTGTGAAAGGAACGAATAGCAGAGTCCTTGAGGAATCATCCAAAGATTCTCTTAAGAAGGGAATTCTCTTAAGGTTGAAATCTGAAAGGGGGAGGGGAGGTTCTGGCAGATCCCAAGGTTTTGGATCCCTGGGAAGGCCTGAAATTTATGCACTTCATCATGATGAAGACATCTGGTTTTGTAATTTAAGGTTTTCCTTTGATTACAACATATGCCATTCCTAATGATTAACTAACTCTGTGCAGATGTGGCCTCAATAATGTTTCATTTTACCTCTTTAGCTTTAATGGGATTTAATAACCTTGATATATAAGGGGGGGGCGGGCTGTACGTGTGTGTATGAGAGGATTCATTATTTTTTAAGCTTGGGTTTTCTTATATTTCTCATTTCATGAAATTGTGAATGTTCATATTATTACCATTAGAGATTATCATATCTAATGACCAGTATCAAAATACTTTTCACACAGAAACATCATATTCCACTATAATAGCTGTTATTTCAGATATACTGTTTGGAATATCAATAATAGATAAATAAATGGGGGGAAACCTGTTGATTAAAATAAAATACAGGAGATTCTTTATTTTTAATGGGCACATACTTTTCAATATTGGTTCTGCAAGTGCACATGTTGCATGCAAATTAAATAACTCTCTGTTTCTGAAAAGTACATTTTATACCTCCAATCAGTAAACTAATTTCATAGAAGAAATAAACATCACACATAACAATCATGTTTATAAAATGCTGTATGTCAGCTATAAAAATACTGTTATCTTTGTTTGACTACTAAAGATGGTATGATTTATAAGACTTAACATAGAAATATTTTATTGATTGATTAATAACTACAAGGCAACTCAGTGAGATTTGGGCCTTTTGATATCTACAGGTATACCCTTGGCCCAATCCTATGACTTGTCAGGACTTAGAGATTGCAGTTTCTGACAATTTCCATGAAGGAAATGATGTTTTCAACTCAGTTGTTTATTTCGAAAGGCGCCTAAATACTTATTCCAGTGAATATGGCTTGAGGCAATATTTTATCATTTGCAGTAGTACTATGAAATTGTACTTAAATACTTTAATCATCATACAGATAGACGCTGATATTTAAACTGTAAAATGTTGATAATTTTACCCATTTTGTTGTTGTTGCGCAGCATGTTTAAAATAACTTTGCCACACAATTTTACATTCTACTCCCTTTGGGAAATTTTATTTCTTAACTACTTTTTTTTCTTATAAAAATTTATTCATGGCTTTGTGATTTCATGGTCTAAATTTTTGTCATTTTGCATTCAGGTACTATTCCCCAGTAAGCCAGATTCCTTTTGAGGATGGCCTTAAAATGACTGTGATGCAGCAGGAAGAACATGCTGATTTATTTTTATTTGCTTCCCAATCTCTTCCAGGGATTAGAGAAATTGAAACTATATTGTTTATCCAGAGTTGTTGAGTAACTTATTAATTATGAAGAAATCCATGCTGTAACTGAAGACTTCTATTTATTTTAACAATATCTGGTTATTAACATTGCTTTTATGTCATATTATTCTCTATACCAATAGAAATGTACAAAGCTCAGCACCAGCTGGTTTAACTCAGTGGTTAGAGCGTTGGCCTGCAGACTGACGGGTCCCCGGTTTGATTCCAGTCAAGGCACATGCCCAGGTTGCAGGCTCAATCCCCTTTAGAGGGGTGTACGGGAGGCAGCCAATCAATGATTCTTTCTCATCACTGGTGTTTCCGTCTCTTTCTCCTTCTCCCTTTTTCTCTGAAATAAATAGAAATATATTTCAAAAAAAAGAAACGTGCAAAGCTCAGCATACTTAGCAGTATATTCTCCAACACTTTAAGGCTTGGTGTTGAAATGGCACATTGTTCATTTCACAGAGCAAGAAAAATGGAAAGTTTGGGTAAATATTTGAAAAATGTAGGCCTGAAAATAGTACTATTTCAACTACTATGTATATGGCTTAAATTACCAAGACCATCTATTTGCTGAAGATACTGTTAGGCAATTGCTTAACATTTTACTTATTTGCTTGTGTAGACACAGCGTAGAGCAATGGCCAGACTTTCTTCAACCTTGAATACTACGCTCTCAGTTATTCTCTTTGACCGGTGTTTTGTTTTCATTTTTAATAAAAGGTAGAATTTTAGGACTGATATAAAAGTCTAAGTTCTTCCTTTTAAGATATTTACCAAACATCTTTCTTTCTCATCCCAACATTTTTATTAAAAATGGGAATGTCATAGTTCCTTTGAACCCCAAGTGAATTTACTCAGTTCTATTTTTTTAAACTGAATATGTAATCATACCCTTATTCTTGAAGGTACTTAGTCTGATGATCTCAGCTTCTGCACTTATAACTTTTGTACAATAAAACTTCTTTTCTGTCAAGTTTCCTTTAGGGCCTGACTTCATTTTCTCTTTACCCATCACTTCCAAAACCTCTTCAGTTTAGTGTTCCTCCTGGACATTCAACTGAACATTTTAAATGATGAAAAAATTCTGAATGGCAATGTCCTATTTTTCAGTTCCCATTACCACTACAGATTTTAACACAGTTTGCCCACACCTTAGGGTGGGCAAACTTTTTGACTCGAGGGCCACAATGGGTTCTTAAACTGGACCGGAGGGCCGGAACAAAAGCATGGATGGAGTGTTTATGTGAACTAATATAAATTCAAAGTAAACATCATTACATAAAAGGGTACGGTCTTTTTTTTTTTAGTTTTATTCATTTCAAACAGGCCGGATCCAGCCCGCGGGCTGTAGTTTGCCCACGGCTGTTATAGACACTCTAGCCTCCTTTGTTCCAGGAGAACTTCCTACTACAGATGTACTTGTGTTTCTGATCACTCCATATATGACTCCACAAACAGATTTAATTTTCTCCTCATAAAAGAAATGTTTGTTGAGGCTCCTTCCTAGGCTTCTTTCATCTCCAATCTTTCGAGTACCTGCAAATAGAACCTTAAAGGAATTACAACAAAATTGCCTTCTGGATCAATCTAGAACAAGTAGATCCCAGAGGATCACACTTCAAATATTTGAATACAGCTATCATCTTTCTTTTCCTAGGCAAAACTCCGCAGTTCTTTCCATCTCTTAAATTTTGATTTGTGAAGTTTTGATGCTTCTATGTATTTGACTCTCTCCACCCAGGATGCATTCTTTTGCACAAACTTTACTTGACAATAAGGCCCTTAAGATGTTCTCCCCACTGGCAATTTTATGCTGGACAAAATAGTCTGGATTAATTTATTCAAAACTGCCTATTAAAGTGTCTACTCTGTGCCACTAATTCACTAAGTCCAGAACAAAACTCTTCACTTACTTTCTAAATTTACACTTAGCTCATATTTTCTTTATTTTGGTTAATGAAAACACTGTCTCCTAATATATGGTGACAGGAGAAGATTTGACTTTGGGTGGTGGGCAGATGGTGCAATATGCAGATCTTGTAACATAGAAACCCACAGCTGAAACCTATATGTTCATGTTGACCAATGTCACCCCAATACCAACTAAAAAAAATGAAAACACTGTATTTCAAGCATCCAGCCTTAATAAAATGGAATCACCTTTGATGCCTCTCTCTTTTCATGGCCCACTATACTAGTTGCCTAATCCTATCCTTCATCCTATATAATAAAAGGCTAATATGAAAATTGACAGAACAGTGGACCAACCAGTCACTATGACGCACACTGACCACCAGGGGCAGATGTTCAACGCAGGAGTGGTCAGTGTGCTCCCACAGGGGGAGCTCCGCTCAGCCAGAAGCCAGGCTCAGGACTGGTGAGCACAGCTGCAGTGGTGGGAGCCTCTCCTGCCTCCGCAGCAGCACTAAGGAGGTCTGA